GACTAGTGGTTCAAGAACCACATGAGTTTGTCCATGATTGACACAATTATCTTCATGAATACCATTGAATTGTAATTCATTGTCATCGACAACTGCACACATAATGCTTTTTGATTTTACTGCCATGCCGGCAACGTTGCTAAGTACGACTTGATATTCACCGACATATTCTGATTGAAATTTTTCTATAGATAGACAACAGATTTTGTCATACTCTTCAATACTCAAATCAGCTGCCGAATTGTTCAGCATAATATCGTCTTCATTGAAAAGCCATTTGCAAGAATAAGTACCCAAACCATTCTAGTCGACACCTTCTGAGTAGATTTTCACTTAACGCGGCGGCAATAAAACATAACATCAACGGAAAAACATACCGGATGAAATGTGGTTGCTAATGCAAGCATCATGCAAGCAATACCATGTTCATCTATAAATGAAGTCGCCTAAAACAATAGAATAGATATATATGAGATATAATTCAGCCAAAGTAAATACTTCAAGAGCACAATTCAGCGAATTGGCAATCATTTCAAATTGTCGATTATTGAATCGTGGTTTCTTTTGTTTTTTATACGATGCTAATTCATTACATAATGCAATGCGAGTATCTTCATAGCTTTTAATTGAATAGAAGACAGCACCACTTGTCCATTACATAACAAAAATCTTCAGAATAATAATTATTCAAATATTCAACAATAGCCGGGCCAGTAGTGGGATCATCGTATCTTATCAATCAGTTCGGTACATGACATAGATTTCAAGACAACAACAACAGAATCTATCAAAACAAGTTGCCCTGATGATAAACGTAAAGAGTGTTCGAAGCGAAAGTAATATTTCATTATGGAATTTGTCAAAACATACTCGTCCAGCATAGAGACCAGGAAATCATTCATACCGGCTATTTTGTTGCTTTTTAAGACGTTCTTTAATTGCTGCATTAATTAATTCTTTATCCAAATGTGGAAATTCCGGTAGATCATCTCGCACACAACTGGTCCGTGCTCGTAGTGGCATTTTTGTTGTGGTGATGGATTTTCCTAAACAATGAAATGTTCGTTTCTTACAACTGAAAACGAAATCATGCATTTAATTAAAGTTGATTGGCTAATTTCTTAATATGTTCTAAAACAGCTGTTGAATTATTATTCACTGTTGGATCATGTTCACGTTGTAACTGATCGTAGACAATCGCATAAACACCATCGAAAATATCGCACCATGAAAAAAGGGACCACATCCGTCGATGAATTTATGAAACGACATTGAATCAAGTATGCGTAACATAAACTCTTGTCTGACTAATCGATGATGACCGAAAAACTTGCCTGAAGAAAACGTAAAACGGTTTTCTTTTTTTGAGAAATAAAAAATATTCTTACTTTATGAAATGAGGTGTGGGTGTGAGTAAACATAATTATCAACGGTACGAATATCCACACCCACACCCTCAGCCAATGACAAATCATCGAGTTGCACTGTACATTTCTTTTCACATTTTATGAAAAAGCTCACCTGTTCTATTTTATCCAGAGAGAAGTCATTCGAAGAAAATAATAAACATATGTATATAGGTTTATCTCTGGTAAAAGCATCATAGATATAAGTAAAGATGAATCCATCTGATGCTCATCTTCTGGATTTGTCTAATGAAATATTACTCATCGTTTTGAGAAAATTGAATAATATTGATGTTCTTTATTCATTATTGGATATTAATAATGGACGACTTGACATCATCGCGCAAGAAAACACGTTCACTAATGTTCTCAATTTCGTACATACTGATAATAATTCTTTAATTGATCGATTCTGCATCTACATATTACCAAGGATTCATCATAATATCAAATATTTTATACTTGAACCAGTTTTCATGGAACGTATTCTTCGTGCTGCCGTTTAT